GTTTCTTTCGTTTTCTCTCGAATTCTTTTGTATTCTTGCGGATTCTCCCCGATTCTCTCAAAATTTGACCGATTCTCTTTTACTTTCATGACTTCTCTCATATTTTTTCGGATCCTTTGCGTATTATTTAAGATTCTGTAAAATTCTCTGTTCTGAGATTCTCTCTAGTTCTTGGATTCTTTCATATTCTCTCATATTCTTTTGTATTCTGTTGGTTCTCTAGTATTCTTTGGGATTTTTTTCGTATTCTTGCGGATTCTTTCGGATTTAGGATTTTTCGGATTCTTTTGTATTAAGTATTTAGAAATGTGTCTATTTCTCTTCAATTATATTCGGATCCTCCGTGATTCACTCGGCTTCCAAATTCTATTCGATTTTCTTGGATTCTTTCATATACATTCGGATTCTTTCATATACTCTCGAATTTTCTCGTATTCTCCAGGATTCTTCCGGATTCTCTCTTATCCTCTCGGAATTTGATCATTCTCTAGTATTCTTTCAAATTCTCTTATATTCTTTGGAATTCTTGTCGTATTCTTTCGGATTCCTTCGGATTTCCGATTTCCTCGGATTCTCTCGTATTTTTTCAGATTCATTAGTGCATTATTTCCGATTATGTTAAATTCTTTCGAATTATTTTCTTATATTCTTTAATTCACTCGGATTCTTCCGGATTCTCTCATATTCTCTTGCATTCATTCTGATTCTTTTATATTCTTTAGAATACCGTTGAATTCTTAGGAATTATTTTTGGATTCTCTCTGGTTCACTAGGATTCTTCATATTCTTTCTGATTCTCTCCGATTATTTCGGAATTTTATCGAATCCTCTCATATTATCGTGTATTATTTAGGATTTTTTGTGTATTAGTTCCGATTCTGCCGAATTCTTTTAAATTACTTTCAGATTCTTTCGGATTATTTCGGAATTTGTCCAGTTTCTCTCGTGTCCTCCTGGATTCTTTCGTATTCTTCCGGTTTCTCCTCGATCATATCGGAGTTTTGTCAATTGTATTATCTCATATTTTTTCGGTTTCTGTGCGTATTATTTAAGATTCTGTCAAATCTAAAAAAAATATGAATGTAATGATAAATTACAAGTATAGACTGATCATAGTTTGCACATTTTGGATAGATACCTATATTCAGCAAAATTTTGAGGTGACGTCATCAATTTATTAGGGGGGATGAGCAATTGCTTATGATAAATTTAAAACATCTCCAAGATTTCAAAGCATTCGGTTTTGCAGTTTTTGACTAAATTAATAAAATAAATCCACCCATTCATGAATTTTTTTACTCTTGTTCAGTTCGTACGACACGCTAATTAATTTTTACTTAAATTCGTATTCGTTCGGATTTTTTGAATATTCTTTAAGTATCAAATTCTCTCCAATTGTTGTCGGATTCTTTTATATTTTCTCGGATTTTTTCGTATTCTCTCAAATTCTTTAGGATTCTTTCGAATTCTCTCTTATCCTCTGGGAATTTAGTCGGATTCTCTCATATTCTCTTGCATTTTTCCGGATTCTCTTGTATTCTTTGGGATTCTTTTAGGATTCTCTTCGTATTCTTTCGGATTGTTTACAAATTTTTTCGGATTCTGTTAAATTCTTCCGAATTATTACCGGATTCTCTCTGATTCTATTAGATTTCCTTGGATTCCTTCCCATTGATCCAGATTTTTTCAAATTCTCTCGGATTCTTTTATATGCGTCCCAAATTCGTTACATTAATCCGGATTCTCTCCGATTCTTTCGGAATTTGATCGGAATGTCTTTCTGATTTCGGGTTTTTTCGGATTCTCTCGTATTGTTTCGGATTCTGTCTAATTCTTTCGAATTATTTTCGAATTCTTTCGGATAATTTTGGATTTTTTCGAATCCTTTCGGTTTCGGTTGCATTCTCTAGTATTCCCTCGTATTATTTTCGTTTTCCTTTTTGGATTCTTTCCGACCTTAACTAAATTTGGCCAGTTTCTTTCGTTTCCTCTTGGACTCTTTTGTATTCTTCTGGATTCTCTTCGATTCTCTCGGAATTTTGGCCGATTCTCTTATACTTTCTTGACTTCTCTCACATTTTTTCGAATTCTTCGCGTATTATTTAAGTTTCTGTCAAATTCTATGCAACTCGGTTCAGATTCTCTCTGGTTCGCTCGGACAGTTATAAGCCCTACCAGATTTTCTTGGATTCTTTCATATTCTCTCATATTCTTTTGTATTCTTTTGGTCCTCTTGTATTCTTTGGGATTCTTTTCGTATTCTTCCGGATTCTTTCGGATTTAGATTTTTTCCGGATTCTTTTGTATTATTTAGAATTGTGTCTATTTCTCTTCAGTTATATTCCGATCCTCCGTGTTTCACTCGGCTTCCAGATTCTGTCCGATTTTCTTGGATTCATTCATATTCATCCGGACTTTTTCATATACTCTCGAATTCTCTCGTATTCTCTAGTATTCTTCCGGATTCTCTCTTATCCTCTCGGAATTTGTCATTCTCTAGTATTCTTTCAAATTGTCTTATATACTTTGGAGTTCTTGTCGTATTCTTTCGGATTCCTTCGGATCTCCGATTTCCTCGGATTATCTCGTATTTTTTTAGATTCTTTAGCGTTTTATTTCCGATTATGTTCTTTATTCGAATGATTTCCATATTTTCTTTAATTCACTCGGATTCTTCTGGATTCTATCAGAGTTCCTAAGATATTTTTGCATTCACCCAAATTCTTTCGAATTCTCTCAGATTCTCTGGTACTTCTCCCAGATTCTTAAGGATTCTTCCGGATTCTCTCCGTTCCTATACAAATTTGGGCTGTTCCTTTCGTATCCTCTTGGATTCTTCATATATCGGATATTATATAGGATTTTTTGTGTATTATTTCCGATTCTGTCGAATTCTTTCAAATTACTTTCAGATTCTTCCGGATAATTTCGGAATTTGTCCAGTTTCTACCAGTCCTCCTCGATTCTTTCGTATTCGTCCGGATTCTCCTCGATCATATCGGAGTTTGATCAATTCTCTTATACTTAATTGTATTATTTGACTTTAAGCGTGTCGACACGTTACAGGCTCTATTTTTCGCACTAGTCAGATCGAGAATTGAATATGGTGCCTTAATTTGGTTTCCAATTTATCAAAACCATATTGATCATATAGAATCGGTTCAACGCTTGTTCTTAAAATTTATGTCTTTTCTTTTGGATGGGGTCTATCCTTGTCGAGAATATGACCACTCGTTATTATTATTAAGATTTAATTTTTTATCATTACATAAAAGACGAATTATTATCGCCATTAAATTTTTGGTTTTTTTAGTTAGAAATCAAGTAGACTGCCCTGAATTGCTTCATTATTTAAATTTTCTTGTACCAAGAATTAGTGCACGCCATAATCATGTATTTTATTGTACTGCTGACAGAACTAACGTTTTAAGAAGATCTCCAGTTAGTATTATGTGTAGTTATTTCAATCAAATTTCACACTTATGCGATATAAATTTCGACTCTATTAACAAAATTGTTAGTTGTGTTAAGCAATCATTATATGGGTAGAATTTTCTTTTCTTTTTAGTTTTACTTTCTTGTTATTGTTAATTTTTAATTTTAATTTTTAGTTTTTCCTGTAATTGGGTGTAACCCCGTTGGAAAATAAAAAATAAAATAAAATAAAAATTATCTCATATTTTTTCGGTTTCTTTGCGTATTATTTAAGTTTCTGTCAAATCTAAAAAATATGAATGTAATGATAAATTACAAGAATAAACTGATCATAGTTTGCACATTTTGGACAGGATACCTATATTCAGCAAAATTTTGAGGTGACGTCATCAATTTATTAGGGGGGATGAGCAATTGCTTATGATAAATTTAAAACATCTCCAAGATTTCAAAGCATTCGGTTTTGCAGTTTTTGACTAAATCAATAAATAAATCCACCAATTCATTAATTGTTTTACTCTTGTTCAGTTCGTACGACACGCTAATTAATTTTTACTTAAATTTTGATTTTTTTGAAAACTTTCGAGTGACACTTTCAGAACTATGAAATTGCAATTTTTTTCATTTTATTTTTGTACTACTTATTTTTACTGTTTATTTTATTTGCTCTGAGAAAAAGATTGAATTTTACTTTTTCTAGTGGTCCAATCTACGTTTAAAAAAATTCAAAGTGGGTTATTTTGGTAAACATATTAAAATTATCCTTTTTTTTAAATTCTGAATGAATTCTCTAAGGTATTTATTTTTCTTTTGACAACTCTTTTTCCTTAAATCTCAACGTTTTGTCTAATCATTCTAATTTTAGTTTGCAAAAGTTTGAGATCTTTCCTAACAAAATAAAATTTTAGAACAATTCTTAAAATAATAAAATTTTCTGTAAATTCTATAAAATGACTAAACAAACAGAATAATTTCATTGTTACCTGCTATTAAATGTGATATTCGTCAAGATGAGATGCTTCTTTAATTAAGAGCCAATGAAATTAATCACTCATTTTATTGTTTAAAAAAAGTCAAAGTCTGTTGGCGCTTTTATTCAACTCATAAAACAACAAATATATTTCTACACGTGTGGTTGATGAATCCGGCTTCGTTTTTTATTACATAGGTGTACGCCTAATTTATTGAAAATAATTCAAAATTGTTGAAGGAAATTTGAACATTTTTCTTAGAAAATACAAAATTAAATATTTTTTGAAACTTGCTGACTAGTTTAAGGAAATAAAAAAAACATGAATTGAATGATACATTACAAGGATAGACTGATCATATCAGGATTTATTCAGCAAAGGTTCACAGACGGAAACGGGGGACCTACTTCTTCGTACTCTAGGGGTCACGAAAGGTCCAGAAAATCCCCGGACGGACTCAATTACCATACCTCCTTCGCTTACGCTCGGAAAGTAAAAAAATAATTAAATTTGTTGTCATTCAATTTATTAACTTATACAACACTTACCTAAAATACTAATGATTATATACAATAATAATTTAAACAAAGTCCATTAGTGACAATAGTGTTCGTTAACCATTTCTACGCAAACGTCGCACTTCACCTCGCAACAAAAAGTAAACTTGCAGTTACACATCCGAGTCACTTGCTTCTGCTGTTTGCGGGCCTTAAACCCACAACTCCGACATAAATGTCTGCAGCTTCTCCTCTCGGAAATGGAAGCTGCCTTGTTAGTAGTTTTAGAACAAGTTCGTCCGAGGGTTCCAGGCCACCCTATCACAAAAAAAACATATACAATTCCGTCCACATCGAAATACACAACTTACCACTTGCGATATCTTCGAAGCAGTAATTCGGCGACTTCTCCAAATAAAGCAGGTTACCCTTGGATAGAATTTTGATGTCTGTTTCGAAAAGCGTCTGCCTGGCCGAATTCCCCAGAGCCACACCTACGCCGATCTTTTCGTAGCTGATAAACATCGCTCTGTCGTAGCGCTCTTTTAGCTGTTTCGCGATTTGTGGAAAAGTGGGCATTTTCATCCAGCACGTCTGGAAAGAGCAGCTTCCAGAGACCCCATGGCACTGACAACTCTTCATCATTTTCTCCCGAATGATCTGAAATCAATATTTTTTCATCACCCCGCTCGAGTGAAAAATTTTGGCTTACCTCTCTTCCGATTCGATTATTGTGGCGGCTGACGAAGCTTTGAGGATCCCCAGACTTTTCGTTTTTGTCTAGTAGTTTGAGGACTAAGTTTTCGCCGAAACTGGAGTCATCTGAGCACCCACCCCAAGCCCAGTCTCTTTCCATTTGTAGCTTTGATGGAAATAAGTACGACGTAATGATAGCGTTTTCTTCAATTTCTCGTTTTAGATTGGAGTTACAGCCGCACTCTTCAATCACTCCTTCTGAACAGTCTTTAGTGATGGAGTAGATGATTCCAGCTGCTAAAATGGCATCTACGTAGGCTTTTTCTCTAGTTGGTTGTTGATTCATTTGTTTGGAAAAAGCGGACGGTGGGCAGTTCCAGCGCTCCCATTTGAAGACGTCTCTGCACAGGTCCATAGCCATTTGGGCCCCGGCGTCCACACTTCGCAAAATAGCAGGGTTCAGGTTTCGCTATAAATATTTTCCAAACTCGTACAAACTAACAAAAATATCAAACAAATTACTTACGTTGAAATCTTGCAAGGCTTTGCTTTTGAGTATACTGTTAATGCTGGTGGACCGAGAAACACTAACAATGATCAAGAGATAGATCCACAAAGCTAGAAAAAAAATTTTCGAACTCATCCTGTCTTCGAAGGGCCAAAACCGAACGCAAAATGAATGAACAATTTTGTGAATGAAAACTTGTGGTAGTAAAGAGAGGTAAGTTTCAACTAGTGTTGTAAAGTGGGGACAATTATCTCAAAGAAACCGCCCCTGAGTACCTGCCGATGGGAGTGCAATTCAGGTGTGAAAAATAAAAGTCGTAGGTGGCCATTTTTAAACAAGCTGTAAAGTATTAAAAAATCACTGAAGATTTCGAAATTACTAAAATCTGCTTATCCCCACCACACATTTGATGATGTCATTTAAAAATTTTGCTGAGTCAATCTGAGATATTTGTTCCCACTACAAAGTTGACGTCATCATAAAACTTATCAAAACATTGTAAAGCCCATTATTTTTTTTGGATTTTAGCATCACAATCGACAATAAATATCTCCATGAATAGCATTATTTTTATTAATGGGTTTATAGCTTGTCCGTATTACACACATTGGAAAGTAGGTAAAATTTCATCGGCCAGCTTGACCCATGACCCACAGTTAATACCAAGACAAGACTTCTCAAACCAGCACTTTTCTCCTTGTCTTTTCTTCCTAATTTATCTTCATCATAAGAATCCTCCATAAAAAAATGAAATTTATTTCCGCATTTCCATCACGAACTGGTTTTTGGGATCACGTGAATGTAGGTATTTCAGATAACATGCCAGAGGTGATTCACCTTTTTCTCCCAAAAAGAAAAACACATCTACATAGCTAAATTTTATTCGTGAATTTCACTTAACGGTTTTTAATTACCATTTTGGGAAAATTCTGCAAGTTGTGACAGGATCGGCCCGAGTCAATATTTATTGCACGTGTTTTCCCAGTTGCCTTTAATCGAGCACCGAAAATTCCTTTAACGACCGGCCTGTGTTGTCCCATAATAAATTTTATGGTCCAAATGGTGTCCGGTCCGAATTCTGTGAATATTGAGTAGGGCCTACCGTTTATGTTTTAGGTATGGTTTCCCAGCGGAAGGGATTAAGTAAAGCGGTCTTTTGTAAATTTAGGACAAGAGTAAGTACGGAAAGAAGGATAGGGTTGTCAAGTTTGTTCAAGGAGAGTGAAATTGTTCGAGTTTCGTCTGGACGGTGATAAAAATGTATAAGAATATTTAGATTTAGCAAACTGTACTTTTAATGATGTACAAATTCTCACAATGGGTGAATCTGTTTCGGTGCCAATTAAGAACATTTTTTTACTCTTGTTCAGTTCGTACGACACGCTAATTAATTTTTACAAAATTTAGATGTTCGTGGCCGGAATTTGTTCCACTTCGTGGATATATCTTCTTTTAATTTATTTTTTTTACTACTTTATAACATTGAACAGAAATCGTTCGATGTAGGGCAAACACATGAAACATTTTTTTTTTGGTAATTTTTTTGAAAATTTTCGAGTGACACTTTTAGAACTATGACATCGCATTTCTTTTTATTTTGTTTTTATACTATTTTCACTGTTTATTTTATTTGCTCTCAGAAAAAGATTGACTTACTTGTCTAGTGGTCCAACTTACGTTTAAAAAAATTCAGAGTGGCTTATAGTGACAAATCAAATAGAATAATTTCACTGTTACCTGGTTTGAATGTGATGATCGTCAAGATGAAATTCGTCTTTAATTACGAGCCAATGAAATTAATCACTCATTTTATTGGCTGTAATCCTGTAATGACACAAAATAGGAAAACAGCCAGGTCCGGGTCTGCATTTTATTGCCTTATTATTTTATTTAGTCTCAGATGAAAATCGTATGCTATTTTCGCAAGTGGTCAAACCTAATTAAAAAAAAAAAAAACCTGAAAGTGGCCTATTTTATTTACTCTGAGAAGATTGGATTTTGCTTTGTCAAGTGGTCCAATCTACGTTTAAAAAAATTCAAAGTCTGTTGGCGATTTTATTCAGCTCATAAAACAATAAATATATTTCTACACGTGTGGTTGATGAATCCGGCTTCGGTTTTTATTACAAATACGCCTAAATTATTGAAAATATTTCAAAATTGTTGAAGAAAATTTTCTCATTTTTCTCATTTTTGTTTAAGAATGTGAAAGATGTTTCGCATGACAGAAGGACTGCTAAAAATTAAAAAAAAAAGGATCGCCTGATTCTCTCAAATTAAAAAAAAAAGACAGTAGGATCCCGAGGTTATTTGGCATTCTTAAAAAAAATGCTACGGGTTCCCGAGATTGTTTCATATTCTTAAAAAAAAAGACAGAAGAACCTCCCTAGACTGCTTAATATTAAAAAAAAGACAGAAGGGCCCCCTACATTCTTTCCAGTTCTAAAATATAGACATAAGTGGCCCTCTCGGTTATTTAATATTAAAAAAAGACAGAAGGGACTTCTAGATTCTTGATGAACATAAAAAACGAAAGAGGGATAGATTGTTTAATCCTTAAAAAAATAGAAGGGGGCCCCCTAGATTATGTAACATAAAAAGAGATAGAAGTAACCCCCTAAATTTTTTAACATTAAAATGACGACGTGGCCTCTGTATATTGTTAAAAATTAAAAAAAAAATACAAAAGGGTTCCCTTTTTTAATATTAAAAAAAGACAGAAGGGACCCACAGATTGTTTAAAATTTAAAAAGGGCGAAGAAAGACTCTAAATTTTTTCATATTAAGAAAAAGATAGAAGGGCCCTCTATAGACCCTTTCGTATTTTTAAAAAGTAAACAGAAGGAGCTTCTTATATTGATTAATATAAAAATGGCACAAGGGGCTTCCTAGATTGCTTAACATAAAAAAGACAGAAGCGGTCTCCTAGATTTTTTACATTACTTTAGATTGTTTCATATTCTTCAAAACAAAAGACAGAATTGGCCCCAGAGATTCTTTTGCATTCTTAAAAAGAAGACACTTGGGGACCCCGTACATTTTTAAAAAATGTACAGAAGGTCCCCTAGATTGTTGAAAATTAAAATAAAGACAGAATTGGCTCTCTAGAATATTTAATAGGAGTATTAAAAAAAGATAGAGAAGGGGCGGCTATAGATTTTTAAAAAACGGCAAAAGAAACTTTCTAGATTTCTTCATATTAAGAAAAAGGTAGAGGGGCCCCTTACAAATCCTTTCGCATTCTTAAAGACTAGACAGTAGGGGCTCCCTACATTGTTTAATATAAAAAAGGCGCAAAGGACTTCCTAGATTGCTTAAGATAAAAAAAAGGACAGAAGAGTTTCCCTAGATTTTTAACATTAAAAAAGACAGAATCTAGATTGTTCCACATTTTTAAAAACAAAAGACAGAATGGACCCCAGAGATTCTTTCGCATTCTTAAAAAGAATATACTTGGAGACCCCGGGATTATTTCACATTATTCTTAAAAAATGGGCAGAAGGTTTTCTACATTGTTAAAAATAAAAAAAAAACACACAGAGTTGACCCCCTAGATGATATAATATTAAAAAAAGACTAAGAGGTCTTCTAAATTGTTTAATATTTAAAAAATACAAAAGAAACTTTCTAGATTGTTTCATATTAAGAAAAAGATAGGAGGGCCTCCTATAAACTCTTTCACATACTGAAAAAAATAGCCTAAAGGGGCTCCTTGGCATAAAAAAGGGACAAAGGGTTTCCTAGATTGCTTAACATAAAAAAGGCAGAGGAGATCCCCTAGATTTTTGATCATTAAAAAATATAGAAGTGCCGTCTAGATTGTTTCAAATTATATTATTAAAATCCTGGGATTAATTCACATTTTTAATAAATGGGGCTCCCTAGAAGATTTAATATTAAAAACAGACACAAGGGATCTCAAGATTGTTTAACATTTAGAAAAAGCAAAGAAATTATCTAGATTTTTACATATTAAGAAAAAGATAGAAGGCCCCCTCTAGGTATATTTCGCATTCTTAAAAAATAGGAAGAAAATGGCTCCCTAGATTGTTTAACATAAAAAAGGAAGTAAATTGCTTAACATTAAAAAAAAGGTAGATTTTTTATTATTAAAAAGAAAGAAGGGGCCGCTAGATTGTTTCAAATTATTAAAAACAAAAGACAAAATAGGCCATAGAGATTTTTTCGCATTCTTCAAAAGAAGACAATTGGGGATCCCGGGATTATTTCACATTTTTAATAAATCGATAGAAAGTCCCCTAGATTGTTAAAAATTAAAAAAAGACAGAAGGGACAACTAATTGTTTAACATTTAAAAAAATCAAAAGAAACTGCCTAGATTTTTTCGTATATAATAAGAAAAAAATAGAAAAGCTCTCCTAGATTGATTAACGTAAAAAGGTATAAGGGACTTCCTAGATTTATAACCATTAAAAAAAAAGACAGAATATGTTCCTTGGAGTTTTTTAACATTAAAAAAACAGAAGGAACTTCCTAGATTGTTTCAGATTCTTAAAAAATCGACAAAAGGTTCACTATATTGCTAAAAATTAAAAAGAAAACAGAAGGGGCTCCCTAGAAGATTTAATATTAAAAAAAGATAGAAGGAACGTCTTAGATTGTTTAACATAAAAAAGGCATTTCGAGATATTTTCATATTTAGAAAAAGATAGAAAGGCCCCTTACAGATCCTTTCGCTTTCTAAAAAGACTAGACAGAAGGGGCTCCCTACATTATTTAATATAGAAAAGGCGCAAAGGACTTTCTAGTTTGCCTAAGGTAAAAAAAAGGACAGAAGTGTTTCCCTAGATTTTTTAACATTAAAAAAAGACAGAATCTAGATTGTTCCACATTCTTAAAAATAAAAGACAGAATGGGCTCCAGAGATTCTTCCGCATTCTTAAAAAGAAGACACTTGGAGACCCCGGGATTATTTCACATTCTTAAAAAATGGGCAGAAGGTTCCCTAGAAGATTTAATATTAAAAAAGACAGAAGGGATCCATAGATTGTTGAAAATTTAAAAAAGGCAAAAAATACTTTGTACATATTTTCATGCTAAGAAAAAGATTGAAGGGCACCCTATAGATCCTTTCGCATCCTTAAAAACAGACAAAAGGGGCTCCCTAGTCTGTTTAACATAAAATAAGCACAAGGGGCTTCCAAGATTGCTTAACATGAAAAAAGCCAGAAGACGTCCCTTAGATTTTTTAACATTAAAAAAAGATAGAAGAGAATTAGTCCCAGAGATCCTTTCGCATTCTTAAAAAGAAGACACTTAGGTTCCCCAAGATTATTTCACAATTCTTAAAAAATGGACAGAAGATCCCCTAGATTGAAATTTAAAAAAGGGAGACAGAATTCGGTCCCTAGAAGGTTTAATATTAAAAAAAGACACAGGAGACCTCTAGATTGTTTAACATTAAAAAAGGCAAAAGAAACTCTCTAGATATTTTCATTTTAAGAAAAAGATAAAAGCTCCTCCATGGATCTTTTCGCATTCTTAAAAAATAAACAGAATCAGCTCCCTAGATTATTTAACATAAAAAGGACACAAGCAGCTTCCTAGATTGCTTAACATACAAAAAACAGAACAGGTCTCCTAGATTTTTTAACATAAAAAAAGACAGAAGAGACCTCTAGATTATTTCACATTCTTAAAAACAAAAGACAGAAAAGGCCGGAGAGATTCTTTCTCATTCTTAAAAACTTACGTTCCCCGGGATTATTTCACATTCTTATAAAATGGACAGAAAATTTCCTAGATTATTAAAAATTAAAACAAAACAAAATGGGCTCCCTAGAAGATTTAATATTCAAAAAAGACACATGAGACCCCTAGATTGTTTAACATTTCAAAAAGGCAAAGGAAACTCTCTAGATTTTCTCATATTAAGAAAAAGGTAGAACGGCCCCTATAGATCCTTTCGTATTCTTAAAAAATAGAGAGAAAGCGCTACCTAGATGGTTTAACATAAAAAAGGCACAAGAGGCTTCCTAGATTGCTTAATATAAAAAAAAACAGAAGACGTCTCTTTGATTTTTTAACGTTAAAAAAAATACAAGGCACCTCTAGATTATTTCACATTCTTAAAAACAAAAGACAGAATCGGCCCCAGAGATTCTTTCTCATTCTTAAATCGAAGACACTTAGGGTCCCCAGGATTAATATTTCACAATTTTAAGAAATGGACTGAAGGTCCCCTAGATCGTTAAAAATAAAAAAAGTGACAAAAAGGCCTTCCAGAAAATTTAATATTAATAAAAGACAGAAGGGATTCCTAGATTTTTTTAACGTTTAAAAAAGACAAAAGAAACTTTCTAGATTTTTTTATATTAAGAAAAAGATAGAAGGGCCTCTTACAGATCTTTTCGCATTCTTAAAAAATAGACGTAAGGGGCTTCATAGATTATTTAACATAAAAAAAGACAGAAGGGACCTCTAGATTGTTTCACATTCTTAAAAAAAAAGAGAAAAGGGCCCAGAGATTCTTTCACATTCCTATAAAATGGACAGAAAGTTCCCTAGATTATTAAAAATTAAAAAAAAACAAAATGAGCTCTCTAGAAGATTTAATATTCAAAAAAGACAGATGAGACCCTTAGATTGTTTAACATTAAAAAAGGGGAAAAGAAACTCTATTTTTTCATATTAAGAAAAAGATACAAGGGCCCCATATAGATCCTTTCATACCTCAAAAAATAGACAGAAGCGGCTCCTTACATTGCTTAACATAAAAAAAACAGAACAGGTCTCCTAGATTTTTCGGTATAAAAAAAGACAGAAGAGACCTCTAGATTGTTTCACATTCTTAAAAACAAAAGACAGAAAAGGCCCCCGAAATTCTTTCACATTCTTATAAAATGGACAGAAAGTTCCCTAGATTATTAAAAATTAAAAAAAAAGCAATATGGACTCTCTAGAAGATTTAATATTCAAAAAAGACAGATGAGACCCTTAGGTTGTTTAACATTAAAAAAGGGGAAAAGAATCTCTATAGATCTTTTCATATTAAGAAAAAGATAGAAGGGCTCTATATAGATCCTTTCATACCTTAAAAAATAGACAAAAAGGGCTCCCTAGATTGCTTAACATAAAAAAAAACAGAACAGGTCTCCTAGATTTTTTGGTATAAAAAAAGACAGAAGAGACCTCTAGATTGTTTCACATTCTTAAAAACAAAAGACAGAAAAGGCCCCCGAGATTCTTTCACATTCTTATAAAATGGACAGAAAGTTCCCTAGATTATTAAAAATTAAAAAAAAAAACAAATTGGGCTCTCTAGAGGATTTAATATTCAAAAAAGACAGATGAGACCCTTAGATTGTTTAACATTAAAAACGGAGAAAAGAATCTCTCTAGATCTTTTCATATTAAGAAAAAGATAGAAGGGCCCCATATAGATCCTTTCATACATTAAAAAATAGACAGAAGGGGCTCCCTATATTGTTTAACATAAAAAATAAACAGAACAGGTCTCTTCGATTTTTTAACATAAAAAAAGACAGAAGAGACCTCTAGATTGTTTCACATTCTTAAAAACAAAAGACAGAAAAGGCCCCCGAGATTCTTTCACATTCTTATAAAATGGATAGAAAGTTCCCTAGATTATTAAAAATTAAAAAAAAGCAATATGGGCTCTCTAGAAGATTTAATATTCAAAAAAGACACATGAGACCCTTAGGTTGTTTAACATTAAAAAAGGGGAAAAGAATCTCTCTAGATCTGTTCATATTAAGAAAAAGATAGAAGGGCCCCATATAGATCCCTTCATACATTAAAAAATAGACAAAAACGGCTCCCTAGATTGCTTAACATAAAAAAAAAACAGAACAGGTCTCCTAGATTTTTTAACATAAAAAAAGACAGAAGGGACCTCTAGATTGTTTCACATTCTTAAAAACAAAAGACAGAAAAGGCCCTAGAGATTCTTTCACATTTTTATAAAAAGTTTAACAATAAAAAAAGTAGAAGGAACTTCCAGAGATTCTTTCGCATTCTTAAAAATAAAACATTTGAGGACCTCGGGATTATTTCACTTTCATAACAAAATAGACAGGAAAGGTCCCCGGGTGTTCAGTTAAAAAAGTATTCAAGTTAGTGTTACTTTTTCGATAGAAGAAAACAGAAAAAAAACTCATATGTTTTATTAATTTATACTGCTCTATATAATTGACATTTCCGCGTTGTCAGCTGTCATCGATTAAATTTGGGGTTAATCGTAGACACACTTCACAATGTTTACAAAAAATCAAAGCCAGCTGGATGACTTTTTTAATTGGACACCCGTTATTTCTACACGTGTGCTTGATTAATCCGGGTTTGTTTTTTATCCCACAATTAGACGCCTAAATTATAAAAACAAAATGTCAAAATTTATCTTAGAAAATACAAAACAAATGTTTTGTTTTTAAAAATTGATGACGTTATTTAAAAATGTTGTTAAATTCGCTTTAAAACAGTGAAATACTTTCATTGCAAGGTAGCAGTGTTGCCATAAAAATATCATAACAGTGACGACATTCGTGGAAAATTTTTGCAGTTGCTGAATTGTTTGTTCTTGATTTACTATGTAATAATTTCAAAAAAACATTATGAAATTTTCTCCGAGCTTTCTGATGCAAATTTTTACACTTTCGGTTATGAAGTGTATACAGGATGAGTCAGTATAATTTAAGCTTTCTGTGGCAATATTTTATGGAGAAAATAATTTTTAAGTTAAAAAAATTCGTTACAATTTGTATACAATTCCGAGAAACATCTGGGAGGTCTTTCGGCACCTCTGTTCCACTTTAACAAGCGCAATTTTATGGACTGAGAAAACAGGTAAATCAGCAGGTCCAAAACAGGAAGCGATCCCCTTTACAGCACAATAAACTTTTGTTGAAATTTATGATTCGGAACGACTTAAAGACACACTATAACTTTAATAACTTTATTTCGCAACTACACAATAAATATGACTAAACCTACCTAATTTAGGTACAAAAGATCACAGCGGAGTTATAAGTGCTTTACTTTAGCGCCTCCAATTTCTACCTGTTTCTTTCTTCGTAACTGGTAAAATCAATCGCCCTACCGTGATGAGAATATTCTGGGTGGTGGTGAACGTTGACGTTATGACTGTACAAAGCGTCACCTCGTTTTAATAAATTCCTCAAAAACGCCACAAACCCCAACACAATGGCCATTTTACCCAGAAACATGCTCTTCATTAACATGAACTTCATCGACATTAACATCATGGGGAGCATGGTGACTTGAAGCATAAAGGGCATTACCATCATGGGCAGGATTTTCGACATCACGTCTTCCTTTTCCTCCTTTTCTCCACCCCCTTCTGGAACAAGAGTCAGAGTGTATACGTTCTAATATAACACACTATAACTCAAACGAGACATTTTTTAATTTTTTGTGATACTTAACTCACCATCGGCCCTAGATAGCCCTTTAAGTTCTTGTGTACAATTACCACGACAATTACTTGCGACCCCACACTCAGTTTGAGACACACACAAAATAAATACACTCATTAGAAGAGTCGTTTTTTGCAAGAAACTCATTTTAACACGCACACATGAAGAGTTCTTCGGCACAGTGTTCAGTGAAAGAGTTTGTTATGAAGTCAATCCTCCAGTGCAGTTTCTAAACTTGTTTCAGTTCCGCCTCAATTCACGTTCTGCTTTTTGCCTTACAGCTCTGCGTTCTTCTGTTTACTGGCGGAATATTTAATGTGATTAAGTAGCTAAAGTGTAACAGTAAGTGGCCCACTTTGGATTATGTTGTGGCCAGAAGCTGGATTTCCTGTTTTCGTTCGTAATGATCATAATAAAGGAAGTCGTTTCTTGGCAAATTTATTGCTTTAATGGTGAGGTAATGAAGGCGAATTTTCACACGTGAAATTGGTCATTGTTAAATAATATTAATTTCAGTGGAATTTGTGCCTCTTTCAAACAAATAAAAAACAATTTTTAAGTGGAATGATACACTTAAACAGTATTGTTGAATTATTAATTTTTTCTTTGATTAGTTACCATTAAGAAATTATAACAGTCAGTGGACCTATTTTTTGAGTTTAATTAAATTTGGCTAAAATTTTAATTCCATAGATGGCTATCTTATATAAAATTTGCGTCGGATTTCATAGTCCAGTTCCTTAGAAATATACTTAATTAGATCGTGTGTATGTAAGACGATCTTTTAAGTAGATTTTGCACACTGTCACTTCTGTTCTAAAAAGTGTCGCTTTTTCATTACATTGTCTGCACATGGAAATAGACTATTGAGTGAAAGGACATTTGAAAATTGAAACCATAACTAAACAATTTGTATTCTGTTCAGTGTGCACAGATTTATGTTTGGTTTGGCGTTTAGAATAAAATAAAAATAAGTGGAACGATGAGTATCAAGAAGAAAATGTTAACTGTTGTACTGAACATACTTTTAAACTAAGTTTTTATATGGGTTGTCATGGCGATCATAGTAAAAATATTGTAGAAGTCGTGATATAAAATAATAAATTGGTCGAAGGTTATTTTGACCACAAATTCCGTTTAAATATTTAAACTAGATAACTAAAGGGGAAAAAAATTAAAATTGAAAAATTGAAAAACCTAAAAATCGAAATCCGAAAAGTCGAAACACTGAAATCTCCATAAATCGACAAATCTAAAATCGAAAGGTCGAGAAATTGAGAAAAAAATTTTATAAATTGAAAAATTAGAATATGTATCGAAAAATTGTAAAATCTAGAAATCCGAAAATTGAACTGTTGAAAAATCGAGAAATCGAAAAATTGAAAAATTAAAATTTTTAAAAATCGATAAATTGAAAAAGCGGGAAATTGAACAACTGAAAACTCAAAACATTGAAATCTCGAGAAATCGAAAAATCGAGAAATCTAAAACTCAAAAAATTGAAAAATTGAAAAATCGAAACAACAACAAATCCAAAAACTGAAAAATTCAAAGATGGAAAAATCTAAAATTTTAAAATCGAAACATTGTAAAATCGAGAAATTGAAATGTCGCGAAATCGAAAAACTAAAAAATTGAGAAAACGTAATCCAAAATAGAAAAATCGAAAAATTAAAAACTGAAAAATTTAAGAAAATTTAAAAGTCAATAAATCCGAGAAGACCGAAAAATTGAGAAATTGTGATATCTAAAATTTAAAAAAATAAAAATTAAAATATGTATCGAAAAATTGAAAAATCCGGAAACTGAAAAATAAAAACTGACACTTGAAAAATCGAGAAATCGAAAAATTGAAAAACTGAAATACCGAAAAATTGAAAAACTGAAATATCGAAAAATCCAAGCTTGAAAAGAGCGAGGAATCGAAAAGTCGAGAAGGCGAAAAAACAAAAAATTCGGAAAATTGAACAATCGAAATTTTGATAAATCGAGATATCGAAAAATCGAAAACTTCAAAATTCGAAAATTGAAATAGAGAAAAATCTTAGAACTGAAAAATCTAAAAATCGAAAAATTGAAACATTGAAAAATCGAGAAATCGAAAAATTGAAAAACTGAAATACCGAAGAATTGAAAAATTTTAATATCGAAAAGTCGAAGCTTCAAAAGAGCGAGGAATAGAAAAGTCGAGAAGGCGAAAAATCAAAAAATTCGGAAAATTGAACAATCGAAATTTTGTAAATCGAGATATAGAAAAATCGAAATTTTCAAAATTCGAAAATTGAAATAGAGCAAAAACGTAGAACTGAAAAATCTAAAAATCGAAAAATTGAAACATTGAAAAATTGACAAAGGAACATCAATAAATCGAAAAACTGAAAAATTCAAAGACCGAAAAATCTACAATTTAAAATCCCAAAAATTATTGTAACATTGAGAAATCGAGAAATCGAAAAGTCGACAAAACTAAAAATTGAAGGATCAATATATTGGAAAATCCCAAAACTGAAATATCGAAAAATTGAAAAATCGATAAATAGAAAAATTGAAAAATGAAAGAAAAACTGAAAAATGAAAAAATTTAAAATTCGAAAATTCGAAAAATTAAATTATGAAAAAAATTGAAAAATTCTGAAAGTTGACAAATTCCAAAAAATTCAAAAATTGAGAAATCTACAAGTTGAAAAATCGAGAAGTTGGACAATCGAAAAGTGGAAAAACTTGAAAAATCAAAAAACCGAGAAATCGAAAAATTGAGAAATTGAAACATCGAAGAATTGAAATTTCAAAAAATCGAGAAATCGAAATGTAAAGAAGTCGAAAAATAAAAAAATCGATAAAACATATTGATCCAAAATCGAAAATTCTAAAAATTTTAAAATAAATAAAGTGATAAATCGAAAAATTGGGAAATTGAACAATGGAAAATTCAAAACATTGAAATCTCGATAAACAGACAAATCGAAAAATTTCAAAACTGGAAAACAAAAAATCCAAAAATTTCAAAACCGAAAAAATTTAAAAATCGAAAATTTGAAAAACCGAGACATCTAAATCCGAGAAGACCGAAAGATGGAGAAATTGACATATCTAGAATTTAAAAAATTGAAAAATTTAAGTATGTATCGAAAAATTGAAAAATCTGGAAGCTGAAAAATAAAAATTGATACTTGAAAAATCGAGAAATCGAAAAATTGAAAAACTGAAATATGTACCGAAAAATTGAAAAATTAAATATCGAAAAATCGAAGCTTCAAAAGAGCGAGGAATCGAAAAGTCGAGAAGGCGAAAAATCAAAAAGTTCGGAAAATTGAACAATCGAAATTTTGATAAATCTAGATATCGAAAAATCAAAAATTTCAAAATTCGAAAATTGAAATAGAGAAAAAACGTAGAACTGAAAAATCTAAAAATCGAAAAATTGAAACATTGAAAAATTGACAAAGGAACATTAATAAGTCGAAAAACTGAAAAATTCAAAGACCGAAAAATCTAAAATTTAAAATCCCAAAAATTATTGTAACCTTGAGAAATCGAAAAGTCGAAAGTCTAAAAATTGAAGGACTAATATACATATTGGAAAATCCCAAAACTGAAATATCGAAAAATTGAAAAATCGATAATTAGAAAAATTGAAAAATGGAAGAAAAACTGAAAAATCGAAATCTGAAAAGTCGAAAAATCGAAAGATCGAGCAATCTAAACATCCAAAAAATGGAAAAATTTAAAATTCAAAAATTCGAAAAATTAAATTGTGAAAAAATTGAAAAATCCTGAAAGTTGACAAATTCCGAAAATTAAAAAATTGAGAAACATAGAAGTTGAAAAATCGAGAATTTGGAAAATTAAAAAATCGAAACATTTTAAGAATCGAAAAACCGAGAAATCGAAAAATTGAAACTTGAAACATCGAAGAATCGAAATTTCAAAAAAACGAGAAATCGAAACATCGAGAAGTCGAAAAATCAAAAAATCGATGAAACATATTGATCCAAAATCGAAAAATTAAAAACTAAAAAATTGAAAAAATTATAAAGTGAAAAATTAAAAAAAAAAAATAGAAAAATGGGGAAATTGAACAATGGAAAATTCGAAACATTGAAATCTCGATAAATAGACAAATTGAAAAATTTAAAAACTGGAAAACAAAAAAATACAAAAATTTCAAAACCGAAAAAATGAAAAAATAGAAAATTTGAAAAACCGAGAAATCTAAATCCGAGAAGACCGAAAGATGGAGAAATTGAGATATCTAAAATTTAAAAAAATTTAAAATTTAAGTATGTATAGAAAAATTGAAAAATCCAGAAACTGAAAAATAAAAATTGATACTTGAAAAATCGAGAAATCGAAAAATCGAAAAACTGAAATATCGAAAAATCGAAGCTTCAAAAGAGCGAGGAATCGAAAAGTCGAGAAGGCGAAAAATCAAAAAATTCGGAAAATTGAACAATCGAAATTTTGATAAATCGAGATATCGAAAAATCGAAAATTTAAAACTTCGAAAATTGTAAAAGGGAAAAATCGTAGAACTGAAAAATCTAAAAATCGAGATATTGAGAAATTTAAAATTTAAAAAATTGAAAGACTGAAAAATCGAAAATTTAAAGACCCAAAAATTGTAACATCGAGAAACTGAGAAATCTAAAATTCGAAACTTCAAAAGATCGAGAAATCAAAATGTCGCGAAGTCAAAAAACTAAAAAACTGAGAAAATATTATCCAGAATCGAAAAATCGAAAAATTAACAATTGAAAAACTGAACAATTTTAAAAAAACGATAAATCGAAAAATTGGGCAATTGAATAATCAAAAATTCGAAATATGTATTGGAATCTCGATAAATAGATAAACCGAAAAATTTTAAAACTGGAAAACAAAAAAATCCAAAAATTTCAAAACCGAAAAAATTTAAAAAGCGAAAATTTGAAAAACCGAGAAATTTAAATCCGAGAAGACCGAAAGATGGAGAAATTGAGATATCTAAAATTAAAAAAATTGAAAAATTTAAGTATGTATCGAAAAATTGAAAAATCTGGAAACTGAAAAATAAAAATTGATACTCTTGAAAAATCGAGAAATCGAAAAATTGAAAAACTGAAATATCGAAAAATTGAAAATCTGAATTATCAAAAAATCAAAGCATCAAGAGAGCGAAAAATCGAAAATTCGAGAAATTAAAAATTGATACATCAAAAGATTTAAAATTGAAAAACTGGAAATTAAAAAATTGATAAATCGAAAAATCGGGAAATCGAACAATCAAAATTTCGAAACAGTGAAATTTCGATAAATCGGGGGATCGAAAAATTGAAAAATCGAAAATTTAAAAATTCGAAAAATTGAAACATTGAAATATCGAGAAAGGAACATCAATAAATCGAAAAATTGAAAAATACAAAGACCGAAAAATCTAAAATTTAAAATCCCAAAAATTATTGTAACACTGGGAAATCGAGAAATCGAAATGTCGAATAAACTAAAAATTGAAGGAATATATTTGAAAATCTCAAAACTGAAATATCGAAAAATTGAAAAATCGATAAATAGAAAAATTGAAAAATGGAAGAAAAACTGAAAAATCGAAATCTGAAAAGTCGAAAAATCGAAAGATCGAACAATTTAAACATCCAAAAAAATGGAAAAATTTAAAATTCAAAAATTCGAAAAATTAAATTATGAAAAAATTTAAAAATCCTGAAAGTTGACAATTTCCGAAAATTCAAAAATTGAGAAATCTACAAGTTGAAAAATCGAGAAGTTGGACAATCGAAAAGTCGAAACATTTGAAGAATCGAAAAACCGAGAAATCGAAAAATCGAAAAATCGAGAAATCTAAAACTCAAAAAATTGAAAAATTGAAAAATCGAAAAATCGATAAATCGAAACATCAACAAATCCAAAAACTGAAAAATTCAAACATGGAAAAATTTTAAATTTAAAAATAGAAACATTGTAAAATCGACAAATCGAAACTTCAAAAGATCGAGAAATCGAAAAACTAAAAAATTGAGAAAACATAATCCAAAATCGAAAAATCGAAAAAAAAAACTGAAAAATTTAAACAAATTTAAAAGTCGATAAATCCGAGAAGACCGAAAAATGGAGAAATTGAGATATCTAAAATTTAAAAATTAAAATATGTATCGAAAAATTGAAAAATCCGGAAACTGAAAAATAAAAATTGATATTTGAAAAATCGAGAAATCGAAAAATTGAAAGATCGAGCAATCTAAACATCCAAAAAAATGGAAATATTTAAAATTTAAAAATTCGAAAAATTAAATTATGAAAAAAAAATTCTGAAAGTTGACAAATTCCGAAAATTGAAAAATTGAGAAATCTACAAGTTGAAAAATCGAAAAGTGGAAACATTTGAAAAGTCAAAAAACCGAGAAGTCGAAAAATAAAAAAATCGATAAAACATATTGATCCAAAATCGAAAATTCTAAAAATTTTAAAATAAATAAAGTGATAAATCGAAAAATTGGGAAATTGAACAATGGAAAATTCGAAACATTGAAGTCTCGATAACAGACAAATCGAAATATTTAAAAACTGGAAAACAAAAAAATCCAAAAATTTCAAAACCGAAAAAATTTAAAAATCGAAAATTTGAAAAACCGAGAAATCTAAATTCGAGAAGACCGAAAGATGGAGAAATTGAGATATCTAAAATTTAAAAAATTTAAAAATTTAAGGATATATCGAAAAATTGAAAAATCTGGAAACTGAAAAATAATAATTGATACTTAAAAAATCGAGAAATCGAAAAATTGAAAAACTGAAATATTAAAAATTCGAAGCTTCAAAAAAGCGAGAATTCGAAAAGTCGAGAAGGCGAAAAATCAAAAAATGCGGGAAATTAAAAATTGATACATCAAAAAATTTTAAATTTAAAAACTGGAAAAAATCAATAAATCGAAAAATCGGGAAATTGAACAATCGAAATTTCGAAACAGTGAAATTTCGATAAATCGAGAAATCGAAAAATTGAAAAATCGAAAACTTAAAAATTCGAAAAACTGAAAAAGAAAAATCGTAGAACTAAAAATCCTAAAAATCGAGACATTGTGAGATTTAAAATTTAAAAAATTGAAAAATCTAGAAAGGCACATAATAAATCGAAAAATTGAAAAATTCAAGGAAGGATTAATATATTGGAAAATCCCAAAACTGAAATATCAAAAAATTGAAAAATCGATAAATAGAAAAACTGAAAAATGGAAGAAAAACTGAAAAATCGAAATCTAAAAAAAAAATGGAAAAATGTTAAACTCAAAAATTCAAAAAATTAAATGATCGAAAAATTGAAAAATTCCGAAAATTGACAAATTCTGAAAATTGAGAAATCTAAAAGTTGAAAAATCGAGAAGTCGGAAAATCGAAAAGTCGAAACATTTCAAGAATCGAAAAATTGAAAAATTGAAACGTCGAAGAATCGAAATTTCAAACAATCGAGAATCGAAATGTAGAGAAATCGAAAAATCAAAAAATCGATAAAACATATCGACCCAAAATCGAAAACTGAAAATAGAAAAATTTTAAAATGAATAAAGTGATATATCGAAAAATTGGGAAATTGAACAATCGAAAATTGGAAACATCTCGATTAAAATTAAAATATTGGAAAACTGAAAGATGGAAAAGTTTAAAAATTGACACGTTGAAAAATTCTAAATTGACAACTTGGAAATTACAAAAAATCGATAATTCGAAAAATCGAAAAATTGTAAAATTGAAAATTTAAAAATTCCAAAAATTGAAAAGGAAAACTGAAAAATCCCCGGACTGAAAAATCTGAAATTTGAAAAACTGATAAATTGAAAAATCGAAAAATCGAAAAATTGAAAAATTCAAAAACCGAAAATCTAAAATTTAAAAACCGAAAATCTAAAATTTAAAAATTGAAAAATTGAAAAAATGGAAAAGTCAAAACATCAACCAATCGAAAAATTAAAAATTTAAACACCAAAAATTGTCAAATCGAGAAATCGAGAAATTTAAATCCGAAAAGTCGAAAAATCGAACAATAAAAACATCAAAAAATGGAAAAATTTAAAATCCAAAAATTCGAAAAATCAAGTTATCGAAAAATTGAAAAATCCAGACATTGAGAAATTCCGAAAATTGAAAAGTTGAGAAATCGAAAAGTTGAAAATTCGAAAAGTTGGAAAATCGAAAAGTCCAGAAATCGAAAAATTGCAACATATAAGAATCGAAATTTCAAAAGATCGAGAAATCGAATTATTAAAAACTGAAAAACTGAAAAATTAAATTGAACAATCGAGAGTTCGAAACATTGACACCTCGATAAATCGACAAATTGCAAATAGAAGAAAAATTGAAGAACCGAAAATGAAAGAAATCGAGAAATTGAGAAATCGAGAAATAGGAAAATCAAACAAATCGAAATATCGAATACTCGAAAAATCATAATAAACCGACAAATCGAAAAATTGAAAAATTTTACAGTTGGAAAACTGAAAAATCGAAAACTTTAAAACCGAAAAATCTAAATCCGAGAAGATCGAAACATTGCGAAACCGAGATATCTGATATTTAAAAAATTGAAAAATTAAAATATGTGGCGAAAAAAGAAAACTCTAGAAACTGGAAAATAAAAATGGAACCTTGAAAAATCGACAAATCGAAAAATTAAAAAACTGAAACATCGAAAAATTGAAGCTTCAAAAGAGCGAGAAATCGAAAAGTTGAGAATCCGAAAAATCCAAAAATCGAGAAATCGGAATGATCCAAAATCAAAAAATCGAAAAATTAAAAATTGATAGGTTGAAAATTTTAAAATAGAAAGATTGACAATTAAAAAAATGGATAAATCGAAGAATCGGTTAATTTAACAATGGAAAATTTGAAACAATGAAATTTCCAACATTTTCAAATTCGAAAAATGTAAATTCGAAAAATTGAAGAACCAAAAATAGAAATACTGTAAAATTGAAACATCGAAACCTTGAAAAATCTAAAAATAAATAAACAAATAATGGAAAATCAAGAGATCAAAAAAACGAAAAGTCAAAAACGATTAATCGAGAAACTGAAAATTGAAAAATCGAATAATTGAAGAATCGAAAAAATGAAGAATCAAAAAACTGAAATATCGAAAAATTTGACAGTTCGAAAGTTGAAAAATCGAGAAATCGGAAAATCCAAATTTTCCAATAATCTCGATGTTTAGGATAAAAATTCAACACAGATTCATAAACCACAAGTTCAGGTCTATATTTGTATCAATTTGTAAGATGACGTAATCAATTCTGGGAGGGCATAAACGGATAAATGATAAAAAAGGATATCAAGGAGAATAGAAAAAAATAGGATAAAAGAGGGAAAAGTTGAAACTATAAAAGAGATTACAAAAAAGCAAAAATGGAAACACCAATTTACAAAAAGAAGGTGAAATCCTAAACAAAAATTGTTAGATAATAGTTTTTGGTGAAATATAAAGAAATTATAGAAGATAATATAAATAATGGGCAAAATATAGAAAATAAAAAAGACACAAAAACCAAGACAAACGATACAGCCTAAGAAGACTAGACAAGATTAAGAAAATAAAAGCAATAAATAATAATAATAAAATAAAAAAATAATTTGTTAGATATAGCACTTTAATCAGTTTGTTGGAAAAACCCAGGATTAAAAAAAAAAGAGTTTGAGTAGGTCATGACTAGAATATTGAAATTAATAATTATGTTTCCAAATTCTAAAAGCGGTAACTGAACGAAATGCGGTCTATGAGCTTCAACAGCTGTAGTTTTATTGACCTAATCTAATTTTTTCACCATGCGTAACACACATCTCTAAACGATTAACAAGCTTTAATTTAATGATGACGTACGTTAGGAAAAACCTGAAACAAGAATTTTGTGAACCACACTCACTAAAAAAAATCCCTTTCAAATAAATACAATTTATTTACACAAAAACTAACTGCAGTTACCGCAACATTTCTGACGTTTTCAAAGAAAACAATATTTTTTAATCTACTGTACAACATATCGTGTCATCTAGAACTTCGTTTTTTTCCGTTGACGTACGCCCCGTACTCTTCGCCTCCACTGTACCCATAATGGGCCATGTGCATGTCTTGTAGGTGCACATCATGGTTGGAAACGCCCCCTTGGTCCGGCTGCCTACCCCTGAACATATTCAAAACGAGCAAAATCACCGCCAATTTGCCGATCAACGCACTCTTCATCAGCATGAACTTCAGCGAAATGAGCATCATGGGAATGATTCCCGTGGAGATCATGAACGGGATTATCATCATGGGCAGAATTCGACTCATCATGTCTTTTTCTTCCTTTCCTCTAGCTTCTGAAATGGTAAAATAATAAACAACAAAAACAAATTTATGTTTCATTACGTACCTAAACTTGTTGATACGTCTTTGGTTTGTTCTTCGACTGACACATTTTGGTGTTTCACTTCATTCGTTAGTCCACTAGTCAACTGTGTTAACAGTATTAACATTAAAATAATTTGAGCAGGTGTTTTTTTAAAATTATACATAGTGTTCTATTTTGTAGTGCACCATCAATACCATCATGGGTCACATGTTCGCGGCGACTGCAGTTGTACAACTGAACTTGACCATCAATGAAAGTTGCTAGACATTCACGGTGTTCCAGTTTCGACTTGGGCGACTCGCGTACCGAGTAAAAGAGGCTACGGAGTTTTTCTTTCGGTTTTAATTTTAATAAATCGACGTCACTTATTTAACATTTTCTACGTTCAATAAAATCTAAGCTAAGAACTTTCGAAAGTAGTGGCCGGTGTAAGCTATACTTGGTTTCTATTTTGCTTTTGACGGTCTTGACTCAATTCGTTGATAAAATTTTGTTATATGGTTATTTTTTTAGTTAGTTATAATAATTTCTTTAAATACTTAATTGCTTTGACCTCCATTTTTAATGATTTAACCAACATATTCAATTTCTGCTCCAGTGCTCATTTAAAACTATTCAGCCCAAATTACTTGCCAGTTTTTATGTTGTCTGTTCAATAATGTATCATTTTCATGTAGTTTTTCATACATTTTTTACGAAAAAAAAAATAGGTCTCCCGTTTCCGTCTGTCTGTCTGTCCGTCTGTCGGCGGTCCCGATTTTTATTAGACAGGTAATCAAATTTTGTATTTATATTAGGAATATTGTAAGCATGGCAAGTTATTAGCCATATTATATCCGTTTATTCCCCCCGAAAAATTGATGACATCAGTTCAAAATTTTACCGAATAAATTCTACCCAAAATGTTGAAAATATGATGAGTTTTTACTCGTGATTTATCATTGCATTCATATATTTTAGATTTGAATAATACGCAAAGAAACCGAAAAAAAAATGAGATAATACATGAAAGTATGTATAAGAGAATTTACCAAATTCCGATATGATCCGGGAAGATCCGAAATTATCCGAACGAATCCGAAAATAATTTGAAAGAATTCGGCAGACTCCGAAATGATACATGAAAAATCCTAAATAACACGAGAGAATCCGAAAAATTCCGGAATATACGATAATATTAGGGCACCCGATTAAATTCCGAGAGAATCGGGGAGAATCCGGAAGAATGCGAAGAATCCAGGACGACACGAAAGGAACAAAAATAATTCTTAAGAATTCAACAGGATCCCAAAGAATCTGGAAGAATGCAAGAGAATATGAGAGAATTCGACCAAATTCCGAGAGGAAAGGACAGAATGCGGAAGAATCCTTAAGAATCTGAGAAAATTTGACAGCATTCAGAATTCAACATAATCAGAAATAATACGCTAAAGAATCTGAAAAAAAAACACGACAGAATCCGCGGGAATCGGAGATTCGAACGAATCCGAAAGAATATGAAAAGAATTCCAAAGAATATAAGAGAATTCGAAGGAATACAAGAGACAGACCAAATTCTGAGGGGATGAGAGAGAATCCGAAAGAATCCTAGAGAATACAAGAGAATTTCAGAGTATATGAATGAATCCGGATGAATATGAAAGAATCCGAAAAAAATGGACAAAATCTTGAAATATCCGAGCGAATCACGAAGGATAAGAAAATAATTGGAGAGAAATTCTGAAAGAAACTCTGGCAGAATTTATAACTATCCGAGTGAACCAGAGAACATGTGAAAAAAATTACAGAGAACTTGACAGAATCTTAAACAATACGCAAAGAATTCGAAAAAATATGAGAGAATACAAGACAGCATAAAAGAATCGACCAAATTCCGAGAGAATTGGGAGGAATCCGGAAGAATACAAAAGAACCCGAGCTAAAACGGAAGAAACTAGCCAAATTCAGTCAAGGTCGAAAAAAAAACGAGAGAATGCAACAGAATACGAAAGAATCCGAAAAAACCCGAAATCAGAAAGAGATTCCGATCAAATTCCAAGAGAAACGGAGAGAATCCGGAAGAATACGAAGAATCCAATAGGATACGAAAGGAACCGGCCAAATTCGTATAGGATTGGAAAGAATCCGGAATAATCTTAAGAATGTGGGAGACATATAAAAGAATCCCAGAGAATTCGAAAGAATCTGGATGGATGTGAAAGAATCCAAGGAAATCTGACAAGAATCAGAGAGAATCCGATAATAATTCGGAAGAATTCAACAGAATCCGAAAAAATACACAATCAAACCGAAAGAAGACGAAGAGAATCCTAAAAGAATCCCAAAGTATATAAGAGAATCCGGAAGAATACAAGAGAATATGAGAAAAACCAACTAAATTCCGATAAGAGAGAATTTGAAAGAATCCTAAAGAATACGAGTGAATACGAGAATATCCGAGAGAACATGAAAGAATCTAGATGAATCTGAAAGAATCCGATAAAATCCGACAGATTCTGGAAGTATCCAAGCAAGAATACGACAACAATTGGAGAGAATTTGACATTTAAATAAAATGCAAAGAATCCGAACGAATATGACAAAGTCCGAATAAATTCGTGATTCGAAGAATCGAAAAGAATGAAAGAAAATAAAAAAGAATCGACCAAATTTCGAGAGAATCGGGGAGAATCCGAAAGAAACGGAAAGAGTGTGCAGCAGAATCAGAGAATTCGAAAATAATTTGAAAGAACTCGAGAAAATCAGAAAAACTCCAATTCGCGAGAGTTCCGAAATAATACGAAGAGAATCTAAAAAGAATTTCAAAGAATACACGATAATATGAGACAATCGACCAAATTATGAAAGAATCGCAAAGAATCCGAAAGAATTCTTAAGAATCCGCGAATATACAAAAGAATCCAAAAGAATTTGGAAGAATCCTGATGAATCCGAAAGAATCCGAGTGAATCAGAGAGCATCCAAAAATCTTGAGAATCCAACTGGATCCCAAAGAATATAAAAGAATCCGTAAGAATACAAGAGAGAGGACAGGAGAGAATCCGGAAGAATCCATCAGAATCCGAGAAAATCTGACAGAATTCGGAAGAATCCGAGTGAATTAGAGAAAATAGGAAAATAATTCGAAAGAATTCAACATAATCGGAAAAATGTAAAGAAACTGAAAAAATACGAGAGAATCCAGGGAATCGGAGATACGAACGAATCCGAAAAAATCCGCAAAGAATTCCAAAAAATATAAAAAAATTCGAAAGAATACAAAAGAATGACAAAATTTCTTGAGGATAAGAGAGAATCCGGAAGAATCCTAGAAAATACGACAGTATATGAAAGAATCCCAGAAAATCGGACAGAATCTGGAAGTATTCGAAAAGATACAAGAGAATCTGAAAAAGTCCTAAATCCGAGAGAATCCTGAAGAATACAAAAAGAATCCCAAAGAATACATGAGAACCAAAAAATATAAAAGAATATGACAGAATATGAAAGAATCCGGACGTTTCTGAAAGAATCCTTGAAAATCTGACAGAATTTATAATTATCTGAGTGAACCAGAGAGAATCTGAAAACAATTGCAGATAATTTGATAGAATCGTAAATAATACACAAAAAATCTGAAAAAAAAGAGAATACAAGAATGTATAAGAGAGTCGGCCAAATTCCGACAGGATCTGGGAGAATCAGGAAGGATACAACAGAATCCGAGAGGAAACGAAAGAGACTGGGCAAATCCAGTCAAGGTCGGAAAGAATAAAAAAAAAATGGAAATAATACGAGAGAATGCAACAGAATCGGAAAGAATTTGAAAACATTCGAAATTATCCGAAAGAATTCGAAAATAATGCGAATGAATTAAACAGAATGCGAAACAATTCATAAAGAATCCTAAAGAATACCAAAGAATCCGAAAAATCCCGAAATCCTCCAATTCGACCAAATTCTGAAAGGATCGGAAAAATCCGGAAGAATTCTTAAGAATCCGCGAATATACAAAAAAACTCGAGAGAATTTGGAAGAATCCGAGTGAATCAGAGAGAATCCAAAAATCTTAATAATTCAACGGGATCCCAAAGAATATAAAATAATCCGGAAGAATGCAAGAGAATATGAGAGAATCCGACCATATTCCGAGAGAACCGGAGAGGATCCGGAAGAATCCATCAGAATCCGAGAAAATCTGATAGAATCTGGAAGAATCCGAGTGAATTAGAGAAAATCAGAAAATAATTCGAAATAATTCAACATAATCGGAAATATGTACTACACTAAAGAATCTGAAAAAATACGAGAGAATCCAGGGAATCGGAGATACGAACGAATCCGAAAAAGTCCACAAAGAATTACAAAAAATATAAGAAAATTGGAAATAATACAATAGAATGCAACAGAATCGGAAAGAATTTGAAAAAAATCGAAATTATCCCCGAGAATTTGAAAATAATGCGAATGAATTAAACAGAATGCGAAACAATACACAAAGAATCCTAAAGAATACTAAAGAATCCGAAAAATCCTGAAATCAGAAAGAGATTCCGATAAAATTTCGAGAAAATCGGAGAGAAGAATTTGGGAGGCATATAAAAGAATCCAAGAAAATTTGAAAGAATCTGGCTGAATGCGAAAGAATCCAAGGAAATCTGACAAGAATCCGAGAAAGAATATAAGAGAATCCGGAAGAATACAAGAGAATATGAGAGAATTCGATTAAATTCTGGGAGGATAAAAGAGAATTCGAAGGAATCCTAAAGATTCCGATAACAATTGGAGAGAATTTGACACTTAACTAATATGCAAAGAATTCGAACGAATATGACAAAGTCCGAATAAATTCGTGATTTGAAGAATCCGAAGGAATGAAAAAAAAATTAAAAAAGAATCGACCAATTTCCGAGAGGATCGGGGAGAATCCGCAAGAAACGGAAAGAGTCTGAGTGAATCAAAGAATGCTAAAATAATTCCAAAGGATTCGAATAATAATAAAGGGAGTAATATACAAGGAGTCCAAAAGAATATGAGAGAATCCGAAAAAATCCAAGTTCCGAGAGTTTCCGAACGAAGAATCTAAAAAGAATCTGAAGAATACACGATAATGTGAGACAATTCGACCAAACTCTGGAAGGATCAGTAAGAATCCGGAAGAATCCTTAAGAATCCGTGAATATATAAAAGAATCCGAGAGAATATGGAAGAATCCGTAGAAATCCAAAAGAATCCGAGTGAATGAGGGAGAATCCGAAAATAATTCAAAAAAATTCAATAGAATCTAAACAATATGAGATCCACCACTCTTTTGGATTGGACAAAATGAATCACTGAAATGGAGACAGGGTGGGTGGGCGGGGTGAATTATATGTTCTTTTGTAAAGTGAAAATAGGAACTAATAACACGTAGGCTGTTAAAAAAAGCGCTAATCATAATTTTTTTTGTTATACTACTTATTTGCTATAACATTTATTTCTTATTTCTGAAAAAAAGGGTTAAGTTTATCTTTTTCCTACGGAATCTTTTATAAACAAGCAATAGCCCCGCCCACCCGCTCTCTATTTTATTAGGGTAATTTGCTAAAATGAGTCTTATCTTAGCAAGTACTACATTGCACCAATTCAAGTTAATATAGTGTCCTTGCAAAAATGTTGACAAGGTCATCACAAAATTGTGTAAAGTTCTACTCGAATCAACAATTTTTTTAAATTTATATCAGTACCATCGTTGGTATGAATCATTAAATCTGACACCATGTCGGCAATGGTCGAACTGTGGTAATGGGTTAATGGGTAATTAAAAGACTGTGAAACCGCCTTCTAAAAGTAGTTTTGTTAGCAAGTGTTTCATTACCGGAAAGTGTGGGTTGACGTTGTTGGACAAATTGAAATTAAAAGGTCATGGGTAAATTTGGATTGTGGGAACCGTAGTTTGCGCTCAAGAAAGAAACATCGGGTTTACAAAATATTTAATAAATAAAATAAATATATAAATAAATAATAGAGACAACGAAAAGTTTCACATTTTGGCGGTGGTGTACTTCGCGTAATAATTAGCCAACTGGGACCCATAATCCGCATTTTGGCCCCCATAGCTGTGATACAAAGGAGCTTTAGCTTTCAGCTCTGGTTGCACCACATCACTCCGGTCCCACACTTGATGATGGTACGGTGAAACCGGACTAATATATGGTACTGGTACCGCTCTCCCCGAGTCCTGTAATCTCGCAAGAACGCTACTTAATCCAACTACTAGAATCAGAAACCCGATGAAACCATTATTCACGGCAGCCAACGCCACAAGAACCAGCAACGTGAACGCAATTCCCAGTTTAAAAAAAATAGCAGGAAGGATAATCATGAAGCGTTTGAGCGTATGGTGGACAAGGGTACGACCTAAAAATACAAAAATAATAATCACATACACAAAATCGTACTCAAGCGTACCTTCTTCGACAAGTTGTCTCCCCAGTTGTTGCAAATTGACACTAGTGTCAACTTTTTCGGTGGTCGCTTCTACAAAGCACACTGTAACACATAACACGAAAACTGCTTTTAGTTTCATTCTTCTGATTTGTGTGGACACTGATGTATTACGTATGGGTACTTAAGAGATAATGGCTCCCTTCAACTGCAAGTATATAGGTAGTGTCACTAATGTATTCAAAAATTTGAAGTGCAGTCACGTCGAGTAGCAGTACATACATGTTTGACGGCAAGAACCAAATTTCAAAGACAATCGAAAAATTCCAGTTGCTTGCTTGCTACACTTTTTTGTGTGTGTGCAAGGTGCATAGATAATGCAGGCCATTTTTGGGTGGAATAGCTTGATGGTACAGGCGGCTGCAAAAGACCGGAATCGGGACAATATATATACTTGTATTTCGATCTTACGAAATGATGACAAGTAACAGTACCGTGTGTAATAAAAAATGTTTATTAGTTGCTGCCCGTAAATATAAATCTAGTTCATATTTCGACTGTACGTGATGAAAATTTTATTTTTCACGTGTTGGATGTGCGACTGAATGTAGTACAGAGCTTCGGGCGATTTTATTATTTTTTTAATGTAAACGCACATTTAATTCATGCTTTCACTGAAACAATGTCGTCTTAGAATGTCACGTTTGACCCTCACACGAGATGTTTTATTTTGCGTTATCACGTAAGTGAAGAAAATAGATGATTATTTAATAACGGAAATAAATAGAGTGTTAATTTAGTGGTTTTTACACGTTTTTGCCGATTCGATGTAAGTCACCTACTTCGAAATATTATTAAATATGTATGTGCACGTGCCGGGCACTTTTCTAGGTATATTTTTACATATAATTACTTAGAAATGTTCTAATTGAATACAATATTAACACTAATCTCCAACCGAATCGGCATATTAATCACGTAACACTAACACTATTGACTTTTGTCAATTTTACAAGAATGGCCTAGAACCCCCACGATACAACTACCAGTGGTGCAAAACCCACCACTGTAAGTGTTATCCGAACCTGTGTTATCGTGTTACAATTACAAACCGTGACCCTCGCATCAATAATTACCTCTATTACAAAATTTTACGTCCGATGACCGACCATAGAGGTTGTGGTTTTTGTAGTAGCGTAAAGTGAAAGACATCCGCGACCACCCGTCTTTTTCTAACAATTTAGGCCATCCATTTCTTGCTAAAGCGGCAACGCATTTCCTCATGAGAACTCGAACAGAATGCACACATTCCTCGGCAATGTTCCCTTCCTAGTAAAGTGTCTTGTGTTCGTGTGCTGCTTCGACTTGCAGTGTTCTAGGGGACAAATGAGCCCCGAAAATCCGCGAAAGTGTTCGAGTGAAATAAACGCGCGTTTTAGCCACGACAAACCGAAAATTTCCGAACTGGAACATGCGGTGAACCAGTTCTTGGCGAAGAAGTCGTGGAAGGTGGCGATAAGTAGAGGGTTAGAGCTACACTTTAAAAATGTAAATAATAGTTTAAGTATTAATGTACAGACCAAAGAAGATGGGCAGATGGAGAGGAAAATGCAAATGTCGATGAAGAATATGATGCCCTATATGATTGTGCCGGGGCTTTTGATGGCGGGGATCCTGCCCTGGGTTATACCGGGGTTGAAAATGGCGGTGATGGCCGTTTCGATGATGAATCAGATGGCGTTTAACGCGGCTTTCTTTAGCTTGATCAGGAGTTATATTTTTGACACGAGGAATGAAGAGCATGTTGTGTATATTAATCATGGGTATAGGCCCAAACGTAATGGACCCCATGGACGGAGGTGACAGCAAGTGTGACAGTGTACATAAGCGAATATTTATTTATTTATATTTTTGTACAAAGTTTTAATAAAATATTCTTGGTTGTTTTGGTCGTCTTATTCAAATTTAATTGTAATACTATTCATAACCGTAATTATTTTTATTGAAAAGTAATATTATACCTAATGAATTCAGTCCTTTGACAGTATTTTCAAAGTTGCTAAAATAATATACATATTCGTGTTATAAAAGACAATTATATAAATTCAAAAATAAATTTTGTGGTTATGCAACCAACATTTCACTTCTGCTTTATATAGCATATGATTTTTAAATTATAGAAAAAGTCCCTAAATTTTTCTACAACTTGTATACACACTAGTGATATAAAACACAATTCTATATCTCCATCAGGTCAGATTTCTTTGATATTTTTTATTAAAAATTATGCAATGAAGCTAGTTCGTTAATGTTTTTAATGAAACTGTATTACCTTAAAAATAATATGAAGAATACGAGCGCAGCGAGCAAGTTTAGGTGGTTTAAAAATTATTCGTCAGTGTCCCCGAGAAGCTAAATTATTACCTAATAACCGATTTTTTTATTATTTAAAAAAGGACACGATAGAAATATGCCAAATTTAGACAGGCTCGAAAGAGAATCCTGGAGAATTCGAAAGAATCCGAGAAAATCCAGCTAAATCCGAAAGAATCCTAGAAAATCTGACAGTATTCGAAAAAATCCTAGTGAATCAAAGATAATCTGAAAATAATTAGAAATAATTCTACAGAATTCGAAATAAGACGGAAAGAATCTGAAAAAGTCCGAGAGAATACTGAAGAATCAAGAGGGAATTTGAAAGAACCCGAGAAATTCTGACAGAATTCGAAAGAATCCGATAAAATTCGACAGAATCTATAAGCATCCGGGTGAAGCAGGGAGAATCTGAAAACAATTGCAGAGAATTTAACAGAATCCTAAAAAATACGCAACGAAACCGAAAAAAATATGAGCTAATGCAAGTAATTATAAGAAAACTGGACAAATTTAGTTAGGATCCGAAATAAATGGAAAGAATATGAGAGAATGCAACAGAATCCGAAAGAATCCGAAAAAATACACAACGAATCCTAGGGAGTATGAGAGAATCCGAAAAAATCCGAGATCCCAAAAATTCCGAAAGAATACGAAAAGAATTCGAAAATAATCTCAAAGAATACACAATAATAAGCGACAATCCGATTCAAAGTCCGAGAGAATCGGAGAGAATCTGGAAGAGTACGAATAATCCAAGAGGATACGAAAGGAACCCGCTAAATTCCTATAGGATGGGAGAGAATCCGGAAGAATCCTTAAAAACTTCGGACAAATACAAGAGAATCCTAGAGAATTTGAAAGAATCAGAGTGAATCCATAAATAATTCTTAGGTATTCAACAGGATCCGAAAGAATATAAGAGAATCCGGAAGAATCCTTAAGAATCCGAGGAAATCTGACAGAATCCGGAAGAATCTGAATGACTCAGACAGAATCAGAAAATAATTTACTTACTTACTTACTTTATTGACGGAAAAACATCCTTAAACAATACAAAGAAAAAATAATAAAATCACATGAGAATGTTACAATATTTTTAAAATAAGATTTGCCTTAACTTAGTTTGAAATTTAGGAAAAGTATCTGAATAAAAATCAATTCTGCTATAAATAGAATTACAAGTAAATAATATATTATTAAGTGGTGAAAACAACAAATAATTCGTATAATTGAATTTAATTTAGAACAAGGGAGCTTGTCTAACATTGAACTGAGGAACATAGAAGTTAATAGAATTAAGAATGTCAGAATCGCACATATTGTTTAAAAGTTTATACATAAAACAAATTTTGTAAAAATCACGACGTACACTTAATAAAGACAAACCCAAATAAGATTTACTAAGACTAGTAGAATGAGAGACCTTAAGTGGTAATTTGAACATAATAGATTTGACAAACTTATTTTGAATGCGTTCAATTCTATTCTTATGTATCTGATATATAGGATCCCACAGTATGCACCCATATTCCAAAACTGAACGGACCAATGATGAATATAATACTAGAGAAGTACGAATATCATTAAAATCATGACAGTATCTCTTTATACACCCTAATACTCTATTAGCTTTTGAAACAATATATTCGCAATGCAAGACAAAGGATAATTTGCTGTATAATATAATTCGAACGAATTCAATAGAATCGGAAATAATACGCCAAAGAATCTAAAAATATAGGAGAAAATTTGAGATCCGAACGAATCCGAATGAATACGAAAAGAATCGGAAAAGAATTCCAAAGAAAATAAAAGAATTCGAAAGTATATGAAAGAATCCGGATGAATCTGAAAGAATACGACAAAATCGGACAGAATCTCTATAATAAGTGTCTAAGTAAATCAGCGAGAATCTGAAAATAACTAGAGAGAAATGGACACAGTTCTAAATAATACGCAAAGAATCCGAAAAAAATATGAAAGAATACAAGAAAGTATAAAAGAATGGGCCAAATTCCGAGATGATCGGGGAGAATCCAACAGAATCCGAAAGAGTCTGAGAAAATCCAAGATTATCCAAAAGAATCCGAAAATAATGCGAAAAAATTCGACAGAATCCGAAGTAACGCACAAAGAATTCTAAATAATAGGAAAGAAACCGAAAAATCCAAAATCCGAGAGATTCCGAAAGAATACGAAGAGAATCCGAAAATAATCTCAAAGAATACACGATAATACGAAGGAATCCTATCACATTCCGAGAGAATCGGAGAGAATCCGGAAGAATAGGAAGAATCCCAGTGAATTAGAGAGAATCCGAAAATAATTCGGAAGAATTCAACAGAATCCTAATTAGTACACAAATAATTCAAAAGGATACGAAGAGAGTCCGAAAAAAATCCCAAAGAATATAAGAGACTCCAGAAGAATGCAAGATAATATGAGAGAATCCGACCGAATTCCGATAGGAACGGAAAGAATCCGAAAGAATCCTTATAAATCCGAGAAAATCTGATAGATTCCGGAAGGACCGGAAAAGAATTCCAAAGAGTCTGAAAGAATCCGAGAAGATTAGACAGAATTTGGAAGTATCCGAGTGAGTCAGAAGGAATCTGAACCTAATTGAAGAGAAATGGACACAATTCTAAGTAATACACAAAGAATTATAAAGGATACAAGAGAATCCTAAAAAAGTCCTAAATCCGAGAGATCTTAAAAAAATCCCAAAAAATACATGAGAACCAAAAGAATTCAAAAGAATATGAGAGAA